GTGAAGTATTTATAATTTCTTTGTAATTTTTTTTAAAACTTAAAGACTTTAGTTGCAGTTGGTTAGTCATCTTTTTCTTTTGTTTTATTTGAATGGTTGGGTAAAATCGTCTTTTATTGAAAAAATGGTTGAAAATAACCTTTTGCGCAATGAAAAGTGGAAGGTAAATGTAAAAATGTCAAAAAATGAAATGTATAGACGTTTTGTACAATAACATTGAAAGGTATGGATGTTCTATGCAATTTACCTTTTTAATTACAAGATTTTTCACAAAATAATATTATACGAAAATCTTTCTTCTTTTTAATCATACATTTTCAAAAAGATACTATTTCAAAAATTATATTTTCAAATAAGCATCCAATTTCGAACAAGCGGACTTCGAAAAACCAGACGTAGAAATAAATCAAGTACAAACGAGACCAGCTGATCATATCCAATCACGGGAAGCGTACGAAAAATCCCTCAATTGTTTAATCTGAAAATTCAATCCGTCTTCCCAAATGGCCTCTCGTAGTAGCATAACAGGCGGCAGCAGCAGCTTCACCTCTCTATCGAACTTTTCATCCAAGTCCAATTTTTTGCCACTATTTTCTTTAGCTTTAGGAACACTGAACAGGCCAAGAAACAAAATTTCTTTATCAGTTTCTGCTATGGGCTCTTCAGCTTCTTCTCAAAAACCAGACACCACTCAAGGTCTCTTCTATCTTTTTGAATTTTATTTCCTGGAAATTTTGTTTTTTCTTCTGTAATTTTTACTGGCAAAATTGTGGATGGTGTGGGTCTGTACCAGAACGAATTGAAGTTTGTAGATTTTTGTAGAAATCAATGTGCATACTAACTGTTTGTTTCATGGTTTAAAAGAAAATTTATGGATTAGGGTTTGTGTGGGTTAAAATGTGGGAAAAAAATTTGGGCCACGTGTAAAATTATTTTATTGGAAGAATGAAAAGAGTTTGGAGAAAAATGAGTTTTTATAGAAAGAGGCTCAAACAGCGGCTATCTATCTTCAGTCCGTAGGTTTAATATGTTTTAGTATTTGGATATGTTGTAATTATTATTATTTATTAGGGACAGTGAGTCGATCGATATTGCCATTTCTTGACTAGCTTATTAATTTGAAGATACTGTAATCAAATAAGTTTCGTTTTAAATGAGTGATTGCGTAATAATATTCACAGCATAAGCAACCTACTTCACTAAAATTGTTATACTTTAAAGTCAAATTCTTTTATGGCTTATTTTCTTCTACATTGAATGATGTTGGGACTTTTAAAAGAGCCCCAATTGTAATTACTTCATACAATGATTATATAATTGATCAACTTCTTAGTGGTTTATGATCTTCCACATTTAATGATGTTAGGGATTTTAAAAGAGAGCTAATTTAGAGGGAAAATTAATCACACTTACATGCCTTATTTTCTATCCTCGTTCTATGCTTAATAAACTCTGATGACTTCATTTAATTTTCTTAGCATTTGAGTCTCAAACTTCAATTCCAAGTGCTAGATACAGATTTTGTTCAAGTTCGCCCTTAATTGGTCATAAATCTCACACGTGAGACATTGTCAAGAGCATAATGTCCTTGTTTGAACTCCATTATTTGAAAAAAAAATTGATTTTGGAATAGTGTTTTTTGAAAAATGTGTGGTTAAAAAGTAAGGAGAATTTTTGGGTTTATGTGTAATATTATTTTATTGAGAAAATATGTAATTGATAAGAGGAGAATGAAAAATGAATTAAAATTTAATGGTGTCCAAACGTGGGCAATATGTAATCCAGAAAAGTAAAGATTAAAGAAACACTGGAAAGGAAGAAGAAAAATATACCCAGCCTCCTCTGCCCCATAGTCCAAATGCTGGAAAAATTACCAAATGCTAAGAAATATTGAGGGGACTCAAGTGCTATAGAATGAGGGGCCGATATATGAAATTTTCACAAATTTATATTGCAATGCTAAAATTATTCTGCATGAAGTGTTTATTCTCATTTCAATGTAATTCCGACTAAGTTTCGTTATATGCACTGCACAATACAGAGACGGACAACATAAATTACAGTTCTATAAGTGATGAAGAATGGAGGAAGCGGCTTACCGATGAACAATTTTACATTGCTCGGAAAAAGGGTACTGAGAGGGCTTTCACTGGGTATAATCTCATTTTAAATGCTGTTTTGTCCTACTTTGCTGAATTTCCACTGGGTTCGATCTCCTTATTCTTGTATGGTCCATTAATTATATTTTGTTTTAGAACTCTCATGGGTGTCTACATATCGGTCACTGATAAATCACTTGTATCATGTTGGATCTGTCCATATCTTGGATATTTTCACTGTTATGCATTTTTATATAGTGAAATAATTAAATGTCATTGCTCCCTGTACTAGTTGGGGAGAATGCATGAAGAAGAGACTGCTGGGGGTGACAGGCAATGTTACGCTTTTTTCCTTTTATATGTTATTTGTTTATCCCTTTTTGGGTCGAGCAATGGGGGTGGAAAGATAGATCTCATAAGCTCACATATCCTGTGTTTAATAGAGGATGTAGTGAATACAAAGAAATGAACCTTTGTAGTTTCATTCCCTAGTAAAACGAAGATAAGAAGCTTTATTTTTGCCAAGCACCTTTCTAGAAATTCTTGTAGTAAGTACCAGAATGTATGTTCACAGCTAAGGGTAGCAACTCGAATAAAACAATGGTAATATAACATGTCAAAAATTAAGTTGGTACTCAATCTACTCTAGCCTTCTTTATTCAAGGGAACCTAATGGAGTCATTGCTCTCCAATGTTAGTACTTAGGGGCTCCAAATTGACGAAACTATAAAGCAGGTGAGCTTTTTCATATTGTTGGTGGCTAGTGAGTCAGTGACTTGCTGGAGCAGCGGGGACAATCCACCTCTCTTTAGCCATTTCATTGTGAAATCATAGGGCATATATCAAATAACGTGAAAATAAGTGTAGTTTAATAAGGACGAACATTGTTTATGCTTATACATTTTGAAATCTGAATTTCTTTCCTATCAATTTTTTTGACCCATGCTCAATACCGTGTACAGAGAATATTGGAACACCAAAACCCCTGGAACTTACCACTGCATTTGCTGCGACACTCCTTTATTTGAGTAAGTGCCCTGTACTTAACTTTTTTTTTTTCCCGGTATAAAGACATTTTTAAAAAATTGTTGAAAACTGATAAGCCGGTGTGCATTTTCTAGATCAACTACCAAATTTGATAGTGGAACTGGGTGGCCTTCTTATTACCAGCCAATAGGAAACAATGTGAAATCGAAACTAGACCTTTCTATCATAATCATGCCTCGTCAAGAAGTTCTATGCTCAGTTTGTGATGCTCATCTTGGTCATGTATTTGATGATGGCCCCCCGCCTACAGGCAAGCGCTATTGTATCAATAGGTATGCATTTCCTGTAATACGTTGGATCCCCATCTCAACTCCCTGAATTTCTTATTGCCTATTGATGTTTACTATTTTCATACTTGCAGTGCTTCCCTGAAGTTGAAACCAAAGTAGGGTGCGTCCACACCATAGCAAATGAGAAGGATATGATTATATGATGCATGTAGAAAAAATATACGTATTGTATTTGCATATCGAGTAAGGGTATAAATAAATCGATGGAAATACTTTTACATACTGTTCAGATATATATTATCTCTAAATTCCAAGTTGTAGTTGCAACCGATTGTACATTCGTTTTATTAATATCCATCGCGTTATTTTTGTTTCATTGAGTCAAATTATTATTTTCCCTTCATTTTAATCTTTCTAATTATTGTGTGGAATTCCTTTGTTTTGTCTTTCAATCAATGTTTGTTTTGGCCATGCAAGCGTTGTTGGATAAAATAACAGTAAAGTGCAGAAAAATTTATCAAAAGATCGAGTCTCGTGACAGCACGATGTCCTAAAGCGAAATTGCCCGTCGATAACTGCTGCGACCTCTGTGGACAATCACCTCCAGGATACAACGATCAAATAAACCAATTGTGCAGCAATCACAAAAGGTTTTCAGAACTCTCAAGTGTACTCCAGAAATATGTAAAACTAAGAACAATATTTTTTCTGTATAGAAATATATAATCTCGTTTTTCTTGTTATTTTCTAATACCCAAAAGTCTGTTTATATAAGCAAAAAGAGATGTAACTTCTTCCACCATGATCTAGTATTAAGTTGCAGATGTAATGGCCAATGGTAATGGGTATTAATACTGGGCAGTTAAAACTGTCATATTCTACTGGTTAGTTGACCCATTAAATAATTCCGAAAATGATTAAAAAAAAAAATTATTTTATTAGAATCAATAAAGCCCAAGGCCCAATCAAAGACTTTTTAATATAGTGCGTGAGGCGTGGCTCGAACACCTGACCTCCCACACAAATTCCACACTTTTCACCAGTTGGGCACTTCATCTTAATTAATTATTTCTGTCAAATATTATATTTATTGTATAAATATATAACAAGCGTCATGCTTTAGTTTGTTAAAACTAGGTTTTAGACCACCGTCTAGGTTTGTTAAGAAATTTGATATAAAATCTACTTTTGTATTGTATCTTGTGTTTCTGACTTTTGTCGAGAGGACATGATAAAAATAAAAATGCAATAATGGCTCTAATATTTTTTTGAGGAATATAAATTTGAATAAGAAATGAGATTTTGGAAGTATATTCGTTTTGGATATCCTGGCAAACTATTGCCATATCTTTCTCGTAGGCTACCAATCACCTCAAGTTGTAGCTTCATAGGATAATGATTTGGATAAATCTATATGTACATAAATTATTGTACATAATCGATTACATAATCCCATGTGGAAGAAATTCGGCCATGGATGTGAAATGTGGAAAAATTAAAAATTGTAGATTATCGAAGGATGCGCGTCACATGTCAATTATGTAATGTATTATGTACTTGTAGCATGATACGAATGATTTAAAATATTAGAATGATTTTGCTAATGGTATATAAGAGTGTACCTAAGGGGTTACATCCCCATCAAATGAGGTGAGATCCACTTAAATAAGATGGGATCCACTTAAATAAAATATTTTTTTATTTAATTGGGTACATCTTTGATGAAATTCTGTAATGAAATATTCTCCAAGAAATATAATTTTCCTTTGAATATTATTTGCATTTTTAAAATTTATTTCTGCAAAAAATAATGTTCTTAGTGACATGGCATACCCAAGGATCCATGTGTTTGAATGGACAAGCCATGTCATTGCCAAGAGGACGAATGTGGGTCAGGCAAGCTGGAGTAGGGAAAGTGTGAAACGATGAATGAACAAGTAATTAGTTTCGTTGATTCTAAATGTATATCAGGATATAATGTCTTTTAATTTCTTTGATTTATAATAATGCTAGAAAATTAGGACATCGAAGATTTTTTGATTCGTACATGAATACTGATAATTTGAATTGAAACTGGAAACGATTTTATTAAAAAATAATCAAAGCAATTCAAATGTTGTAGCTTTTATCGAACGAAAAATTCTAAAGTATCTTAGGCCATGTTTGATAGCATGGAAAATGGGTGGAAAAAGAAAATATTTTCCAAGTTTCCATGTTTAGTGGTGTTTGATGACAAAAATTTGGCATGAAAAATCTGACTTTTTTTTTTTCCATCTACGCGCCATACTCCATGCGTGGGAGGAAAAGATGTTCTTACCTTTTATGTGGGAAAATTAATTCCCAGTCCCCCCTTTTTTTTTTTTGCAATGAAAACAAATTTCATAACCAAGTGTAAAAAAAAAATTCACTTTCATGGATAATTTTTGATGTAAACGAAGACCAAACGAACACTAAACTTTGATAAAAAAATGATTTTTTAAGAAACAATTTTTTTTCATTTTTTTAACTTTTTAGCAATGGAAACAAATTTTATAACCAATTGTGGAAAAAATTGTCACTTTAATAGACAATTTCCATGTAAAATAAAGCCAAACGAACACAAAATTTAAAAATTTTCCGGGTGAAAAATTATACCAATCAAACACACTTAATTAACAATTCCCTGGAAAACAATTTCTAGGAAAATATTTCCCATGTAAAACATTTTCTTTCCACCCATTTTCACCCTTGCTATCAAACGGACCCTTAGTGTAATGGACCTCTTCTATTTTCATATTGGACATCTCAGTCTTCTAAATTTCTGTTTATAGCATTTGGGTACCCATTTTTTTGACATTTAAATAAAGTACTAGTCGATGCACGTGCAATGCACGTGTTTTACTTTAACTGAGTATGTAATAGCGTGGATTGATGATTAGAATTTCAAGTTTGATGCTTTGTAATAGCAAAAAAAAAAAAAATTGTGAAGAACAATTTATCCATGAAGACAAGTAAAGAAGCAACAATGTAATTTTTTGAAAGGAGAAATGGAATACAATCAGATTGTAGTAGTTGAATTTTACTAAAGAATACAGATCTCAGGCTTCATGTGATGATTACCAAGTAAATTTCGAAAATGAATGCATCTAACCTTCTATAATAAATGGAATAAGCACACAATAATATAACTAAAGGTTCAAGTCATTCTATATAGATTGTAAAAATCCTTTAACTTTATCCTGTCATTTACAACCCAATGATGCTACAAAAAAACAAAAGCTGATTGAAATCATTCAAATGGAGATAGTAAAACATGCAATCAATCTTTTAAGTTACAAATGATAAAGACCAGCTAACAAAAGACATTTTATACATGTCAAAAGATTACAAACTCCATGTCAGATAAGTTACAAGCTATATGAAGCCTTTCTTCCCATCATTTAGAACCATCGTGAACAAACTTCATCAACAGTAGCAAAAGCACTATACAAAATTCAAAAAGGCATGAAGATTCTGCAAATGATGCTACAAAATAAAACAAAGGCTTGGCATCTTGGATGGAGATATCAAAAGGAGCACACAATCTTTTAGGTTGTAGCATTCATGATGTCTTCAAATATGAGGCATTAGTCTTGTTTTCCTTTCTCTGCAATCTGATGAGTATGTGAGCTGGGATTGTCTATTTTTGTCACAGCAAGTGTTGTCTTAGTTGAAGTTTGGAACAATGATCGTTTCGCAGATGGTGGTGATATGTCATCATCAAAATTCTTATCTTCTTCTTGGATTGCTTTGTCTTTCTTACTCGCTTCCTCTGTTTCATCATCAAGAGTAGAAGATGGATCGAGCACAAATACAATTTCGTACTTATATTCAGCAGTGTTTGGCTCAAGCTGTGTGACTTTAACATAAAATAGGTGTTCCTCAGGATCCATTTCAACGAATTTATCAATGTTTGGATCACATCCCTAAAGAATGAAAAATAAATAATTTTATCAAAGGATGACTAAAGCTTAGCTAGTCTAGTATGCTGTATACTCACAGAATTAGAATATTATCAATGGATGACTAAAGCTCAGCTAGTCTAGTATGATGTATACTCACGGAATTAGAACTTTTCATCAAAGTCTCAGCATCACACTTCAACAATGTCTCTGCAGGGCTACCAATTGCACTTGCAATTAAGATTCCACTGGTATCTTCTAACTGTACATTGGTATTTGCCCTATCATAGTGGAGAGTAATTTCATTATCATAAATATAAAGATTGAAATGAAATAACACTTGTTACATTTCAGAAAGCATATTTATAAATTTTACAAATGTAGTTATGATTTACCTCGGCATAGCCTTTGAGGAAGGGTATTTGCAGTACACACAGGGGAAGGTCTCACCAAATTCAGCATGGCTTACTTTATTACAGTTACTACAAGACATGTACTAAAATGCTTGTTTTTTTGCTAAGATGGTTGATTTTGCTTTGATCCAAAAGTACTTACGCTGTGGAAAGATTCGTTGTTAAAAAGCATCTATAAAGACAGGAATATATAGTATTTATACAACTTAAATAACTTACCCCAAGTAAACGGCCTTTAATATTGTGTATTTGAGTAAATTTTTTGTGCATTGGTGGAGACAATTTTGTTGGTGTTAATGCAAGAGATGGTTTCTCTAGTGTAATTTCATTCAACTCTTCAGCATGTGCTTCTACCCTAAGAGCACAATTTTAGATTAATGAAAGTTATCTATAAACATATAACTTATAATGACGAAAGAATTATGTATGTACCATGCTCGAAACTCAGCAACTTGGTTAAACCCACCATCTATAAAGAAGGTGCTATTGATCTTAGTTGATAGTGTCAAACCTGCAGTAAAGACTAAATGTTAAATCTTTTTTACATAGATTTACATTGATTGGTATGGACTAAAGATAGCTGTACAAAAAGGAGGAGTCAGTACCATTAAAGGATGACACTTTCAACCTGTTTGCTAAGATAACTGGTTTGTTGGCAATTTTTTCTGCTAGTGTAATGCACTCTTTCTCTACGTAAGTGTCCCACATTGTTAAGATGATACTATGGAAGGTTTTATCCATCAGTACAATATCCTGCACGTATGTTTGGTTGCCATATCTTGTCTGAATTAGACGTTTTGGGCGCATGTCTATGGCAACCGCAAGTATGCCTAGATATATATACAATAAAGAAGTTAATATATAGTGTGACAGAGCATATGTGAATCAAGAATTAATAATGTAAGATATTGTTATTCAAAATATAGATAGAATTTGTGTACTTATATCATTGTTGCAGTCCATGTAATTTCCAAGTTCTTCGAAGGGAGTGAAACTATAAGTCGAAAACAAAAATTCCATGTTATTCTCATTCACTTCTTGAATTCGAGTTTTTCCTGTAATTGTCCACTGGATGTCACCATTTGCAGCTTTATATTCAGGTTTAGTGTCTTTCACGAGAGCATTTGAAACAATGTATGTTTTGCTCAATATAAGCTGGTCTTCGAAGGCATTTATATTTCCATCATATAATGTTGCATGGACTTTATTTCCCTATGGCAGATAAGAAGTGCAAAATAGTTCATATAATGATATTATTGCAAATAGGCTGATAGATTATACTGATTAATCACAAACTATTTACCTGGAAATCCATTAGTACCAAGTTCTGATATCGACTGCTACTATTTCTTGCTTGCTTTGGAGCCAATTTTTCTGCAACTATCACCTTGGCTTGCCAATTTCTTTCATTTGGACTGATTTCTGGTATGAGTTTATAGTGTTCTGTCATCTTGTTCAGCCTGGAAGAAATATAAAAGCATTAGAGACCATGCATTAGAATTTTGCACTATATATATATACACAAAACGTATGTGTATGTTTATATGTTTATATAGTTCTCCTTATATTTATCTTACAGAGAAGAGAAGAAGAAACGAAGTGGTTGCTACAATAAATACAATACAAGAGAGAAAAGAAGTGGTTCATACAAGAAAAGTTGATTGTGTTGCTCTATATATATATACAAAATTGTAGTGCTATTCTTTTTGTTTTGATTTGAGATGAGAGAAGAGAAAAGAGAAGAAATGATTATACTGATAACTCATTTCAATAGAAGACAGCTGACAGGGCAAAAGTAAAAGACAGAGAAAAACTGTAGTCCATAACATTTCAGAGTTTTTTAAAGGTATTTTGGTAATAAATACGGTTACTACTTTTGTTTTTATTTACTTTGAGAAGAGTAGAAATGATTATACTAATGCCTTATTTCAGTAGAAGACAGCTGGCAAGATAAAAGTAAAAGACAGGAAAAGTGTAATCCATATCATTTCAGAGTACCTCTGAGTTTTGGTAACTTGTTTCAGCTCTTTGTCAGAAAAGAGAGAAGAGAAAAGAGAAGAAATGATTATTCTGATAACTTATTTCAATAGAAGACGGCTGACAGGCCAAAAGTAAAAGACAGAGAAAAAGTGTAGTCCATAACATTTCAGAGTTTTTTAAAGGTATTTTAGTAATAAATACGGTTGCTACTTTTCTTTTTACTTTGAGAAAAGTAGAAATGATTATACTAATGCCTTATTTCAGTATAGAAGACAGCAGGCAACATAAAAGTAAAAGACAGAAAAAGTGTAATCCATATCATTTCAGAGTACCTCTGTGCTTTGGTAACTTGTTTCAGCTATTTGTCAGAAAAAAATACGGCTGTCAGACAAAAGGTAAAGAAAAGATAAAAACTATATTTTATATGAGATTGTAGAAAGGTCTGACCGTTTTTCCTGCATATTTGAAAGTGAAACATGGATATTTTATTATAAATATAAAATTTAGCTTTACAAATTGCTAGGATATAGGTACATAACATGTAATAAACGATTCATTATTATTTGTGATTAATGGTTACCTGAAGATGAACTGAATAAGAGACTCTCCACAGAAGCATCAATATTTTCATTTGACCAAATACAATATACACTAATGAGTCTAAGTAGATGAACGGTATTTTGCAGTGAAGACTCGAAGACCTTGATTGAGTAAACATCACCATAAATAGCGCCAAAGCGGTCCCTCCGAGAAGCCCACTTTTACTCTCCTGCCCGATTAGAGCTCTGATCATTGTTCCTAATGAAATTCCCACTACAATGGAGGAAGAACCAAAATTCCTTCTTTAGCTTCAATAATGAATACCATAGAAACAAAGGAAATACCGCTTTCAAAATAAGCTTCCCTACAGAGAGAAGAATTTAGAGACCTCTTAAACTAAGACAAGCAAATTAGAAGTTGTAATTACATACATTAAAACTTTGTTCATATCTTGCAAAAAGTATGGCAGGTGTCAGTAAGAACTGCTTAGTAAACATTAGACATGTATATCAGTATATGGATACATTGAAAGTTTTTCTATCTTCAAAAATATAATCCAGTTGTCAAGTTGACATGAACTCTACTTTCAACTGATGCAAGTCATCATCAAGTATATATACTTGTCATTACAAATGAAACCTTAGCTTTTAACTTAATTATTCACCTGTAACTGATATTGTAAACAAATAGTTCTATTTTTTCATGTATTTTGCATATGATTGAAAGGCATATCTGAAAGAACGATTAAATAGAATCATACGGTGTTCTTTATTGCTAATTGATCCACTTCCAAATTATAGTACTGTAATAGCCAATTGATCCACTTCCAATTGAATGCTTTGGGAAAATGTGAACATATTACAGCAAAAAGGGATTTCATACAACTACTAACTAATTAAACAATATCTAGAGTCACACAAAATGAAACTAAGAACATGTCAATCAATGATAATGTTAATGACGAATGCAATATATATGATAAGCAACTTACACATTATGTACATAGAATTATACATTTTGGGAAGGAATCAGCAAATGGGTTCACGAAGAGTAAACTTTCTACTGTTACAGAAATTCTCTAAGATACAGAAATGATCACACGTTGGTCAATATAAGCCTTGCTTCCAATATTATGCAGAAAATGCTGAACGTAGAACTCGATATTATTGGGAAAGTGGAGTGATTCTGGTAAGTAGAAACATTAGAAATGATTTTGTTGAAATTGACAATGATGCTGGAGGCGAAATCATCAAATAAACTAAAGTGAAAGCATTAGTCAAACCAATAAAACTAAAGATTGGGATCTAGAAACATAATTAGTGCGACAGAAATGTAATGGAAACATAAAATTTAAGTAGAAACATAACTAAAGATTTACTGTCCCGTCTCAGACAAATGCAAATGATGCTAAGCCGGTGGGCAGACAGGTGCATGGCAATTGTACTGGTCGAAGCCACATGATAAGACCTTCTCCAAGTTTGGAGCAGTTAGCTTCACAGTCTAATGTGCCCCAAATGCTGCAGCCAACAAACAGGTTTTGATGGCCGTCATTCAGTTTCATGCCAAGTAAGAACAGGTTCTTAGTAATATATCAATTAATAATAATCAATCAGAACTAAATTTCGAAGATTCAAGGCTTCTTCTACTATGAGTTAGTAAAGGCTCTAAGTTTAATTATACACAAGTTCAAACAACTCTTAAGGATTTCAATTTTTCAAAAAGAACATGAAACTTGAAAACTCTGATCTACAGGTTACAACTAAGTTCCTTTATACATTAAAATGAAAAGAATAATTGAATTTTTTCTTCTTTTTTCACAAAATATAATTAAAAGCACTCGTAGATCCAAATTTCACAAAGGAGAACCCAAACTTTCTTATTTAGATCGTTTTGCCTTGAAAAAGTACGATGACTGTTGAAAAAAATTCAACTGAAAGCAGAAAAGGCATTGCAATCGCATTCAGGCAATATATTACAGCAACTGTAGTAGCATAATAAAACTACAAGAAATTGCTGCATTTATGAAATCAACAGAAAAACGCATATATAACGTGAACTGACAACAAAACTACAAGATAAAATCGAACAGATATCCAAAAGCATAGTGTACAAAGTATAAAAATCACCAAATGTAATCATTTTGAAGATTCGTCCTTACATTTCAAAGAAAGTTTGAAGCCGAGAATCAAAACTTTTATCCAATATTCAATCCAAGAATTCTTTTAGCTAAGCACTGTTGATGGCGTCCTTGGCGATATTCCGACGCTGTCCAAATGCGTCAAAACGTTCTTTGACAAATTCTTTCAATTTCTTGTTCATGTCTTTTAATATCACAAAAATATTGCAAGGATTAGATTAAAAACTAAAAAAGAAGAGCAAGAATAGAGCTGAAACGACCCCAAACACAGCACCCAAATCAAAACTTGCCGACATAAATGAAACTATAAGTATAAATTTATACAACCACAGAAGCATAAAAGGAGGATAAAAAATATTTATTCCATTGGTTCGTCTTTAGGCATACTAAATTGTATACAAACTTTAATACAAATTTTGGTATGGGAGAAATTATAGAATACGAATAGAAATCATGATAGAGGTGTACGACAATAAAAACACGAAATAAAGGTATTTATCCTAATAAAAGAACAAACAATAACAACACTAATACTAAAAAATAGAAAGAACGAAGGGCAGCAAATTCAATGTCAACAGTTGTAGTAAATTTGACTTACTACTAAAATAGCGCGGATTTGTACGAATGCTGACCAAAAATTCATAATCGTGTCTTCACAGATTTCCTGTGCTAGCAATGACAAAGGTGAATAGTAGCGAATGGTTGTCAAAGGAAAACAATAAGAAAAATCATTAATCATGAACTGAAAATGTCAAAAAAAAAGTTACCCATGTAAATATACAGTCAAGTAAATGAATCAATTGTTTCGAATTCAACTTTCAAATGATTCCGGCATCTTTCCATTCATTTTGGATAAGAAAGAATGTAAGCACTTCTTATAAAGGCACTGATGTAACAAATTGATAAAAAAACTGGACTACTTTGAAAATGTATGTCATTTACATAAACTGATGGGCATGGAATACCTAAGGTTAAGCGGAAGTAAATTCTGAAGATAAATCAAAAGTGATATAACTTGGAGCGACTACTCAACTAAAACCTAAATTTAAAGGAGTAAAAATCAACTGAAACCAACGTTGGTATTAAGGCGGATATGATGACATAATACATGATATAAGAAACTGTAAGTTGTACATAAATGAAAATTACCTGTAGGAGAAATAGTCAGCCCGAGTTAGATCAAAAATAAAGCTCTGAAATACGTTTACATAGCACAAAAAAGAATATTCACTGATATATAGCAGCTTTAAATCATTCTAAAAAAGGTCAGCTACATTCTAGCTCAGTTACTGGGATCAAGTGAAAGGAAAGACTATAAAAAGCACAATGATGTGATGTCTGATTTGCATGGCCAAAATGATAAGAGATTATGGAGAAGATTATGGCGTTCAAAATTTAAAATTCAAAACACTTTAGATTTGTAGCACTTCAGACACAGGAGTCTCCATCCAGTGGATGGAGAGACGCCCGGAGACACGGAGGCACCGCCTCTATCAGTCCCGGTTGACGGGTAAATGAAGAAATACCTTTTAGTTTTTGCTACTACCAAAAACACATTGCGCGGAAATCGGAACCAGCCAAAAATTATTAAGATTCAATTAACTATAGCTTGCTTGGTTAGCCAATGTCTTTGGCCGTGTATATTTGATAGTAACAAA